ACACTATCAGCAAAAACAGGATCACACTAATATCTTCAAGCCACAAAGCGTCCAACTCAAAATGTTGATCTGAAGCTGGGACTGGGAAAAGAGAAAAGACTCAGGATAGTTGCAGACAATAGGGGAACTGTAGATTACACATTGAAGGTAGGCTTGCTTTTCTGGTTCCTGTTGTTCCATACTTTCTACTTGGAGATGAACCTGTTTGTGGAAAGCCTAAAAGAGGCTATGAGAAGGTACCTTTTCTCCTCAAGCAGCATGACTCTCGTTCTTACTAGTCTGTATGAAGATCACATAAGTGTGTTTATTTAGTGCTGAGGTTCCTCAGGAATTCTGGTCCTTGTAGAGTATAGTTAAACAGAATATTCTGAGATGATCAAGATCTCTGTAATGGAAGAGGTCTTCTACTTCTCAAGCATCATATTCCCTGTGAAACATTCTCTCTCCATCCTCATTTTCCTTTCTGTCTTCTCATTCTAACTGCTATACATCTTCCCCCAACCTCATCTGTAACAAATCACCCACTCTCTCCAAGGGTGTCTGCTCAAGACAAACTCATTGACAGTGTAGATGATTGTGAAGAGGAAAGTTTGATAACTCTCCATCCTCCCACAGATGTGCCCTCCAATGAAGGGTACAGAGATCATTCAGTGCATCTTTCTGAAAAACTTCAGGTGGGGAGTAGTTTTTTGGTCCCTTCTCAAGCTTGTCACTAGATCTGAGATGAAACTGCAGGAAATAGATTCATAGGGTATAAAGAATATCCTATGATATAAAGGTATAAAGACTATCCTATGAATAGTATATATGTCATTAATGTTCTTAATGATAGAGCATTATTTAGAACAAAGACCCAGGGCTCTATCATTAAGAACAAAAAAACCTATGCACCTATTACTCAGCTATTAAAAACAATGAATTTGAGAAATTCCTAGGTAAATGGATGGAACTAGAAAATATCATCCTGAGTGAGGTAAGCCAATCACAAAAGAACACACATGGTATTAACTCACTGATTATTGGATATTAGCCCAGAACCTTGAAATACCCAAGATTCAACTCACAGACCACATGAAGACCATGAAGAAGGAAGACCAAGTGGGGGTGATTTGGTCCTTCTTAGAAGGAGCAACAAAATACTCAAGGGAGCAAATATGGAGACAAAGTGAGGGACAGAAACTGAAGGAGTGGCCGTCTGAGGATCATTCCACCTGAGTACCCATCCCATGTGCAGTCACCAAAGGTAGATGCTGATGTGGAAGTCAGGAAGTGCATGCTGAGAAGAGTCTGATATAGCTGTCTCCTCAGAGGTCTGCAAGAGTCTGACATATTCAGAGGCAGATGCTCACAGCTAGCCATTGAACTGATCATGGGGTTCCCAGTGGAGGAGTTAGAGTGAAGCCTGTTGGAGTTGAAAGTGTTTGCGGCCCCGTGAGGAGAGCAACAATACCAATCAACAAGAGCTCCCAGGGTCTAAACCACCAGTCTGGGAGCACTTAGGGAGAGATCCATGGCTTCAGCTGTATATGTAAGGGTTGAGGGCCCTGCTGGGCATAGGTGGGAGAAGAGATCCTTGGTCTTATGAAGGCTGGATGCTCCAGTGGGTGGGAATTTGAGGGTGGGGAGGAGAGTGGGGGGGGGTAGGTAGGGGTACATCTGCAGAAAAGCAGGAGGAGGGGTGAGTGGATAGGGGG